TTTGTACCCAAACAACAATCTTCTATAATCTTGCCTTTCTCAACTTCTTGCTTTGCCTTCACAGCCAGACTTGAAAAGTTTGTTTATACTCACAGTCTCCTATGTCTTACCACTTAGTTCATAGAAATTGTATTTTCAAAATATTGAGCAAAACTATTCTTTCCAGAGTCACTAGTGACTATTTAATTAATTAATTTTTTTTATTTATTGGTCAAAGGAGAAGTCAGTTTTTGAATTTTCATTTGTTTGATCCCCCAGTAGTGTGTGATATTGTTGGCTGTTTTCTGTATCTTGTGGTACTTTCTTTCTGCAGTGTGCCATATTTCTGGTGTTTTTTCTGACTCTGGCTTTTTGTGGTCTCTTGCCAGTTCCTTCCACTTTCTTTGTTCCTTAATGTTGGCATTTCTTTGAAGGTTTTGCCTTCCTATTTTTCATTGTCTTCCTCTCTGAAGCTCTTAAACACTTGTTTTGTCAAGGATCTGTATCTTGACATGCCTCCCCAGCCTATTCAGTTGTTAGAAATTCTCATTTAGATGTCTTGAAGGAACTCAGCATAAATGTATTTTAAAGCCGAACTCATCTTTACTGCCAGAAAATCTAGTCGTCTGCCATTATTCCTGTCCTGTTTGGCAGATAGCCCTGTTACTCATCTCATTAATTACTTTTACCAGAAAGCTAGGACTTACTCTTTCATGGTTCTCCAATTATTCCTGACATTGAATCAGTAACTTAATCCAGCTGATTTTACATCTCAGCGCCTCTCAGACTTACCTGATGTTTTTCATCCGTACGACTGCAGTTTAATTCAGACCACCATTTAAAAACTGATGGATTGCGTGGCAGTAGTTTTTCTACTTTCAGTCTTCCTTTCTCTTCATTTTCTGTTCTGTATTTGAAGTGATCCTTTCAAAATATTTTCTGATCTTGTCATGTTTGCTTTAAGCCTTGAGTGACTTTGTGTCATCTTTAGCATCATTAGTATCATTTATAAAGTTCTGTATAGTCTGACCTCTTACTTCTTCAGTATTACTCTGTTGCAACTCTACATTTCTATTGTATTTAACTTGTTATAGTTCACTCAGATGTGCCAGTCTTTGTGTCTCTCCATTCATTGCGTGCCTTTTGCCTTGTGCTATCCTCTGCCTGGAATGGGCACAAGTATATGCTACCTTTACACACCCCCATTCATCCATACTCCTGACTGTTTTGGTTTATTCCCATTTGTTATTTACTGTTACCTTAAAATATATTTCCTGTCACATTCCCCCAAGACCGTAGGTTAGGTTAAATTCCTTTGCTTACTTCTTGCTGTGACATTCTTTAGTATAGTAATAATCCTCCTTGCCTTCATCTCTTTTGTAATTTCTTTTTAGTAGGTCTTTCATTTTAGCCTGTGTATTCTATAAGGAGAAGGATTCTTTTTGTCTCGTTTAGTGCCATGTCCCTAATGCTATGTTGCCTTATACATTAGAGTGGAATACATACCAATTAAAATACTAGAGTAGTATATTTTAATTCTGTGTTTGTCCTAGATAAATGTCTAGTGTTTTTGTTGGAGCTGAGGGGTTTGAGAGAGGGTCTTGCTATATACCCCAGTTTGGCCTCAGATCCATTGTGGTCCTTCTGCCTCAGCCTCCCAGGAGGCTGATATTACAGGCCTGCACTATCATGACCAGCTGAGCCTCTAGTTTTATAATTGAAAATTGTTGGGTGGAATAGAACTTAGCGTAAAGAAATAGTATTATAGCTACCTTTCCCAGAAATACATGCATTGCATACCACTGTAGAAAACCTGCATTTCTTTTAGGAGTACTGTGTTCCTGTCATAAATTGAGGAATAATAGATTGTATGGGAGCTAATAGTTTTCACAAATGTGTTTAACCATTTCCATATTAAAAGAATTTATAGAACTTTGAAGATTTGCTAAGTGAAGTAAACCAGGCACAAATAGCAAATACGATGTGGTTCCACTTTGATAAAGTACAGTACCTAGAGTAGGTGAATTCATAGACAGAAATAGAATGGTGGTTTACCAGTACCTGGGGGATGGGTGGTCTGGGGAGTTAATTTATTCATTTTGTGTTTGTACTGGGGATTGGATCAGTCCCTAGTATTCCCCCCCGCCGAGACAAGATCTCATTAAGTTACTTAAGCTTGGCTTGCCCTCTCGATCTTCCTGCTTCTGCCTCCCAGGATGCGGAGATTACGGGCATGCATGGCTACTTCTGGCTTGGATAGTTATTTAATGGGTACCAAGTTTCGCTTTGGGATGATGAAAAAGTGCTGGGGGTGGAGAGTGGTGATAGCTGTGCAACAGTGTAAATACAATTTATGCTACTGAGCTATGCACTTAAAAATGGTTAGGCTAGACGTGCTTTTACTATATTTTAGGCACATATGTGTGTGTATATTTTTTTGAGACGACCTTGCTGGCTGGCTTTGAACTTGTGATCCTCCTGCATTAGCCTTCTGAGTGCTAGCATTATAGGCATATACCACCATGCCTAGTTACCACAATTAAAAAAAAAATTCAAGCCAATGAAATATACCTGAGAAGAACAGTGAGTAGTATAGTCTGGAGACAACAGGCAGGATGGTGGCATTTCACTGTTTTCATTTTTAGTTATAATTATTGCCTGTATAAAATTTCCCTGGATAAATATATTTGCAACAGTATAGTCATTCTTAAATTTTAAATTTATTTTTTAGTGTTACTGTGTTTATTTATGTTAGTTATTTACTGCCACGGGCCAATTTGAAACAGAAGATGCCCAGTACATTTCACTGTGGGTTCTACCTTACTGGGTATTCTTTTTTAGTTATCATTTTGGCTCTTTGCCGTGCTTAATCTTTGAGCATCAAATTCATTCAGAAAGTAATATGTACCTTCTGTCAAGCAAATACTATTTTGGGCAATAGGAATGCAACACAGAACAAAAACCACTGAGTCAGACAAAAATCCCTGACTCAATAGAGGTTACATTCTTTTTTAAATTTTTTCTTTGAGACAGGGTCTCATTATGTAGCTGAGGCTGGCTTTCAACTCACTGTATAGCCCACGCTGGCCTCAACTTGCAGCAGTCCTCCTGCTTCAGCCTCCTGATTGCTGGGATTACAGGTGTGCACCATCCTGCATCCTGAATATTATTATTTTTTTTTTCCCGGTACCGGGAATCAAACTCACGACCTTGTGCTTGCCAGGCAGGTGCTGTGCCGCTGAGCTAAACCCCCATCCCCTCTGAATATTCTAATAATATTCATTCCTTATTGTTAAGTAAATTTCACTTTGCATTTATCATCTGTGAATTCTTTAGCAGCTTTGCCTTAGTGTGAGCTATATGGTATAACACTCTCCAAAATCAGGAACTGATATCCATACTCTTTTTCTTCCTTCTAACCATCTCCATTGGTTAATATTATTTTCTCAGAAATAGGTTATTACTGTGTAATGCCCAGTGGTCATTTTAAATTGAAGTTCTGGATTTACTAATGTGGACCTTATCAGACTAATAAAATATATTTCATTTTATTTTTTTTTATTTTTTTGGTTTTTCTCCGGTACCAGGAACCGAACTCACGACCTTGCGCTTGCCAGGCAGGCGCTTTGCCGCTGAGCTAAATCCCCAGCCCCTTATTTCATTTTAGAAAATGGCTAATTATGCTGTTTTGATTTCATATGGACTTACATTTCATATAAACTTGGTGTGGTACTGGGTTTTGAGCCCAGAGCCTTCACAGTGAGATACACTCCCACCCTTATTATTATTACTGTTATTTTAAAATTTTGAGAGAGGTTTGCTAAGTTAGTTCCATGGCTAGTTCCAACTTGCAATTCTCCTCACTTAGCCTCTGAGAGTGCTAGAATTATAAGTGTGTACCACCATACCTTCCTTTATTCTGTCATTTCTGAAAGACTCCAGTGAATCTTACTCTGCCATTAGCGTAATGGCATATGATTTTGTGAAACTACTTAAGCTTGATTAGTGCTTTTTCTTACACATACGAGTTTCATTCTCTTTCTTCACTAATAAGTTTTTTATTCATAAAAATAGGAGTATGGCACCTATCTCCCTCCTATACTTTTATATCCCGTAGTCCCTAAGACTACTGTCATGGTCTCCTAGGTCGGACTTCTTGGCATGGATTTCCATGACTAAATAATTGTTTCATCCACCAGAATACACTGTATTTTTTTGTATATATTTGCTAACCCAGCTGTTCTCCTTACTTTAGTAATCAAAAGGCATCACCTAGAGTAGTGAGCATGACAGGTGGTTCGGTTAGGCTCAAACGTGGGAATGGTGGTGGTGGTGAATAACGAAAGAGTTTTACCGGTGAACGAAGGCAGACGTTAGGAAAGCAAGAAATGACTTTTGGCTGCAAGGGAGGAAAAACACGAAATTTACTTGGGGGTTCATAAGTTATAACCTGTTTTGAAAAACTCCAGTGTTCTCTCTGGATTCTGTTACTGAGAGAAAAACATAGGCTTCCTTCATAGTATTCTAGGTGAGACTTTGTCCAGCCCAACATTCTTTCATAGACTTCCAAACATGGTGGGCCAATTGTGAGATTCTGATTGATAAACCAAGATATATATCAGAGCTGAATTAGTTATCTTCTTAGAAAAGTTTAATCAACTCAAGTGAATCATTTTAATTTTTAAGTTAAATTTCAGAGAACTGTTCATCATCCTAAATAGTATGACATCTAATTATATCATATTTTTATGTAAAGTGTTGCAGAAAGATTATAGAGTTGCATCAGTTATCTTAGGCATATATATAATAAGCTGTATTTAAAATGACTACATAAGAAATATTCAAACATCTTAGTAAGTAATCTTTGATTTTTCTATTTAAAAGCATTTGATTTTGTGTGGGATACTCAAAATAATGTAAAGAACATGGCTGTTTTTCCTTAAGATTAAAATACCTATTTAGTACTTCTTTTGGAAAAAATAACTAGTAAATAAATATGGTTTTACAAATTTTCATTTCAGTTGCTATTGCCAAGAGTAAGTTATTTGACGTTGGTAACTGACAAAGTGAAAAAGCACTTTCAGAAGGTTATGAGACAAGAAGACATTAGTGAGATATGGTTTGAATATGAAGGCACACCACTGAAATGGTGAGTGAATTTTTCTGCATTATTAAGCATTAAGTATATATTAGTTTTAAGAGGGTATAGTGCCCTGAAACAGTCATAAAAAGGTTTTATTAAGAAAGAAATCACTAGTTTAGTGCCTAAGTGAGGTTTAAACCATTATTAGACTATTTGGTGAAAATATTTCTGACTTCTATTTGACTGCATGGATGACTTGACAAGTTTTATTTTCAGCAATAGATTTTTTTTTTTTCTTTTTTTGAGACAGGGTCTTGCTGTGCAGTTCAGACTGCCCACGAGCTCACTTTGTAGCCCAGGCTGCCCTCAGACTTGCAACAATCATCCTGCCTCAGTCTCTCAAGTGCTGGGATTACAGGTGTGTGCCACCATGCCCAGCTTATAGATTTTTATACGTTAAAATATTATTTAGTCATAGGTTTTTTTAATATATATTTAAAACTTCATATAAACAAGCCATCTTCAACAACTTTCAATATTTTTCTGTCTCTGGAATATTTATAACAACTTTACATGCACATGATTAAAGTAACATCATTCAAATTAATTGCCACTTTAGTTGACCACTGATACTTGGTTTAGAGCATTTAAAATATATTGATTTCTTGTTTTTTTTTTTTTTTTTTGTGATACTAGTGACTGAACCCAGGGCTTCAGGCATATTTAGGCAAATGCTCTACCACAGAGCTATGTCCCTTGTCCTTTTTATTTTACTTTAATACATGGTCTCAATAAGTTGCCCCAACTGGCCTCAAACTTGTGAGCCTCTTGCCTCAGCCTTCTGAGTAGCTGCATTTATAGGTTTGCACCACTGTTTCTGGCCTTACTGTGGAAAATAATTTTGATATTGTGTCATTTTTAAGAAAGATTTTGAAAATAAGTAATCCACATATAGATGACTTTTTATACCTCTGTTATTGGAAGTTTTATTCAATGTGTTTCCAAAAATATTTAATGAAACTAGAGAAATCATGGTGAGAAGGATATGAAAAACATATTTCAAGGTGTATTGGAATGTAGGTGGTAAGAAGATAAACACTAAGACAAGATTTAGATGACATTTGAAAAATACAAGTGGGTTAAAAGTGGACTTATTCAAACTTAGAGTATTAAAATGAAGGACAGTAAAAAGCTAGTTAGGTATTTAGTAAGTGCAGTTTATCTCAATCTAATTAGGACTAATTAGCAAAGAGTAAACTTTGAAATTCAGTTATACTGATGAAATCTTAAAAGTAGACTTGATAATTGGCTTAGAAAGGTACAGGTTAATATTTTATATTGAGTTAGGGGTTGTTTTTCATCTTTTGAGGTGGTTCTGGGAAGGTATGATAAATTGTCTTACTAAATCCGTATGTAACAGTGAGCTTCATGATCATATATGAAACTTATTATGACTTGGATACTTCTAGACCTCAGGTAGTGAAGGTAAAGCAGTTTTCTGTTTCTTTTTGTTTCAGAAGAATTGAAGGTTTTAGAATGGGAAGGTGGTTTTAAAAATGTATGAAAGGAACAATGATGAGGAGAGTAGAGGGAAAGGCAGGATGGGGAAAGATTGTGGGTGAGTAGCAGTAGTCTGTCTGTCTGTCTTTCTGTCTGTCTCTCTATGGTATTTGACAGTTCTATTGATATTATAGTTAGATTTTTAAATTGTATTACTTTATATGTATTATAGATAATAATTTGTATGACTAACTTTTTCAACTTTATCATTATAAAGCAGGATTTCTCAACAGAGTCATTGTTGACATTTTTGAATTGGATAATTCTTTGTTATTGTAGGGGTTGTCCTTTACATAGTAGGATGTTTAGCTGCTGCCCTAGCCTCTACCCACAAGTACCTGTATGCTTCCCAAGTTACGATGATAAGAATTGTTGCCAGATTGTACAAATAAGGCCAAAACTGCCCCCAATTGAGAAACTTTGGAAGATTTGGGAAACTTCAGTTTATCTGGAAAATAAGTGATTGCTAAGTCAACGTCTTTATGATCTATACATAAGAATTTGAATTTGTAATTTTTCGTTTGTTTTTTGAGACAGGGTCTTGTTATGTAGTTGAGACTGAGCTTGAACTCATGAGGTAGCCCAGGCTGGCCTTGAATGCTCAGGGATCCTTTGCCTCTACCTCCTAAATGCTGGGATTATGGTGTGTGCCACCACGCCTTGCCTTGAATTTGTAATTAAAAGGTGAAGGTTGCAGGCTGATGGGAACTAACAGTCCTGGCTGAAATAATTTTGTTGGAAATCTTTATCAAACATTTAAAGAACAATTAATATCATTTTCATAGTCTTTTCTAGAAAATTCAAGAAGAGAGAACACCTCCCAAATCATTTTTAAGGCCATTATTATACTAATACAAAGTAAGGCAGTATAAATAAAATAGAAAAACACAATGTCTCATGAATGTATTGTACAAAAATCTACAATAAAATTTGATAAATTGAATTCAACAGTGAATACAGTTAATTACATACCATGACCAAATAGGTTTTATTGAAGGTGTGTAAGACCTCAACGGTCCTGAATGTAGGAGCCAACTTGTGGTGCTGTGCACCTATAATCCAACTACTCAGGAGGTGGAAGCAGTAGGATTGCAAGTTTGAGGCCAGCCTGCAAAACTTAGTAAGTCTCTGTTTTAAAATAAAATTTTTGAAAAGGGTCTGTGTATGTAGCTTAATGGTAGAGTGTTGAATCTCCATTGTAAAACAAAAACATAAAAAAGAATGAATTATAACTAGAAGATAAAATAATTCATATTGAGCATCCCTAATCTGAAAATCTGAAATGCTCCAAAGTTTGTGATTTTTTGAGCATCAACATGACATAAAGGGAAAGTCCATCCTGGCCTTGTATGTTGGGTAGTAGAAATGCAGGTGCACTGGGGCTGGGCTGTCATTTAATGGCAGAGCATGTGCTTAGCCTGTGTGATGGCTTTTATCCCCAGCACCACACACATGCACATAAAGCAGACTCACTAAAAATAAGTATATGGAGTTACCTACATATTTTGTATGTAAAATGTATATGAAATGTAAGTGAACTTTGTATTAGACTTGGATCCCACCCCAAAGATATCTGTTCAGCCTTTAATTCATATTCAGCTTATAGTTGATTCATTAAAAGTTGACAGAATTCAACACGTTTATAATAAAAGTCCTCAGCAAATAGACTCATGTATCCCTCCTTCCCTTCCTCTCTTATTTATAACTTTTAGCTTAACTATCAACTCTTTCATGATTCCTTTAGCCAAAAGCAACCATTTCTACATTTCTGCCACCTCAGTACTGTGTACATTTCCTATATATTTGTCATATTGCTACTGTATAACATAATGGTTAAAGATGCTAACTCTGGAGTCAGGATTTCAAACCACACTTTATCACTTAATAGCTCTTGGTCAATTTATTTGACCTTTCTCTGTCTCAGTTTTTCTGTCAGTAAAATGTAGATGCTGACCCATCAGTTCTTTTTCAGGATTAAATGAGTTAATAAATGTAAAATTCTTAGAATAGAGCATGGCACAGGATAAGTGCTCAAAAAGCCCTATCCACCACTGTCAAAATCATAGTCCTTCATACTTATTGTTATACCTGTTTAAGGATCTTTGTGGGACGATTGAGCATCCAGGATGGTTTCAAACTCATGGACTCGGGGCCTTCCTGTATTGTTTCCTGAATAGCTGGGACTACAGGCATATGCCACTATGACCAGCTTTGTTTAGAGGTGAATTTGCTTTAGTTTCCATTCCAGAATCACACAACGCTTCATTCTGTAAAGTGTTTCTCCTTGCTTTTCTTGACAAAGGTAAGGCCAAATAAACAGCATCTAGAACCCAGGTTCTAAGAGTCTTAGTTTAGAGCTCTTTCTACCATACCTGCTGGCATTATTTTGAAATTTTTTCCCATTCTGTTTTGTTTTATTCTATAATTGCTTATGTTAGTTTGTCAAATTAGAATAGAAAAATAAGAATAATTCATACTTTGTAAATGGATTGTTAATTTGTAGAGCATCCAAGTAGGTTTTATCTGATTATATTAGAACTTTATCCTTGTAGTTCTTTGTATCATCTTTCCTTTCTTCCCCTCCCCTCCCCTCCTCTCTCTCTCTGCCTTCCTTGCTTCCTTTGTCCTTCTATTGATCTCTTCTCCCTCATCCCCTTTTCTCTTTTTCCTTCCTTCCTTCCTTCCTTCCTTCCTTCCTTCCTTCCTTCCTTCCTTCCTTCCATCCATCCATCCATCCATCCATCTGTCCATCCATCTGTCCATCCATCTGTCCATCCTAGGAGGAACCCAAAACCTTGTGGGTGCTAGGCAAACACTACATGGAAAGTACAGAATGTTGATCTAATTCAAAGTATATGAATTTCTTATTTTAGACTGATTTGATCAGTCAGCAGAGGGTGCTCTTAACATTATATTTTAAGGGGTAAAGTTTATTTTTACTAGAATTTAAGTATGGTATTCATAATTTGTACTTGTTATTTTTATAACTGTTTTAAGAGGACTGTTCTTGGATTTTTCTCAAGAGTACTTTGTTAGTAAACCCTTGTAATGGTTTAGATCTTAAATGTTCAGGGAAAAATTATAGAAAAAGTTTTTCTTTTTGTGAACTGTAGTACAAGTATCCCCAGTGAGAGGTTTTACTTTGGGTAAACTAACTTATTTTCAGGATACGTTGTGAAAGGAAGGAGTCAGAACTGCTTTTTTGAATTGAAAAACAAAGCAAGTATTGGTGTTGATCTTAAACCTAGACATAATAGTGACATTTTATACTGTATTTTCAAAAATAAATTTTAGTTAAATGCTTTAGTGAAAATATAGTTTTTTCTTTAGGAAGTTTGATGACTTTAACATTTTAATCATAAATGCTGTATAGATTCTTCTCCTATATCTCACTTTGTCTTTTCCTGTCATTTTGAATTTTTAGAATTTTGTGTTATTCTATAAATTCGATTTTTGAAATAGGGCCCACATAGCATCTTATTCATGATTTCTCTTAGTTGTTTTGT